AAATGAAATTATAAAGAAATGGAAAAAAGGTTAAGAAATATTGAGGATGTCATATTTTCTGGGTTTTCAATTCAAAGGGTGAAAAGCCAAAAAACGGATTGAACACTGATGATCGACGCATATCATGCAGTAGCGATGAAAGAAAATAGCCATTAAACTAAACTGAGACGAGTTTAAATCAAGATAAAAAGTAATTCTTGGTTTACTTTAATTAGTGATTAACGATTTAATGCTTTTATTATATTTTCAAATGAACAACTAGCTGAGTCAAATTCGCATAGTATAACATTTTGTTCACTCCGACCTGCTCAGTTGTAGCTGTTTTAAGCCGTCTTAGTAACAGCAAACCCATATTTTTGTTCTGGCAAAAAGCTTTTAGTCGTAGTTTATTTGTATGTTTTTTCGTTTGTTTGTCTAATATTTTTTTGTTGTCTGAATTTCACTTTTTTTTTTGTTGAAACAAACACTTTAAAACTTCTATCGTACAACCACTTCTGTTCCAATGTCAATGATTGTTATGTCCGCTCTCTCGCTGTCCTGAGTGCCGGCTTGCGTTCAGATTGTTTTTACTCAAAATTTCTACAAATCCTCCTTCTTAATTCCGCAATTATTTTCCCCACCAACAAAACTCTCCTCAATAATAAATATTTGATTTTTTATTGAACGAAAATTAAGTGCTCCTTTCACAAAAAGACCTAATGTAACAATAATATTGCGTTTTGGTTTCGGAGTTCCGATTCAAAATTAACTAGCATGGCTTGAAAGTAATGACAATTCGTAAAACAAAACTTCCTATATTAACAGCCCTCCAATCATTCAGTCTTGTTGTTTGACTTAAAAAATGAATTTACCTTAAATTATAATTGTATTTTGATTAAGCATTCGTTAAGGAAAGGAAGGAAAGAAACAGAAAAAGCATGCGAAAAACATTGGTTTAATAATGAAGTCAAGAGTGCTTGCAAGTCGTCAGTCGCAGTTCTTTAGACTCATATTCAATCAAGCAAACAGGTCTAGAATGTCGCCAATAAATATACTTTATGACTGAAAAAATATATTAAGAACTACTAGATATAGTGCATGATAAAATAAATGGTTTTAATATTGAATTTGTTTTGCGAATAGAAAAAAAGAAATAGAAAGTCTACAGTAGTTGTCTAACACGCCCTAAAACATTCACTTATAGCAAAAAAGGAATACAAAATCTATACAGTAACTAAGTTTTAGCAGAATGTATTGTCATGTTTAAGTTTATCCCAAAATTTCGTTCATCATAATGTTATGTAAACTTCTATTAATGGATAAGTAAATATAGATTTTTTAAACTATTTTTTATTTGGACTTTGAAACAATAACTAGCTATTCTTTGAAAGCATGATTATGAAAAACATTGACCATATCTTCTAGGAAAAACACAGAACTAAGATTCAATTGAATCTTGTTTCTCATTTTTCCTTTTCATTCGTTTGATTTAGATAAGATAGAACTCATAATTAAGGCTTATATAACCACTTAGTTTTGTAAGTAAGTGTACGTGGGTTGCTTGACTGATGTTTATTGCATATTTTAATTCACTTATGGGTAGTTTATAATGATCGAGCTAAAACCTTATTTCTTTGCATAAAAWTTTTTTCAAAAGACATATCGTGATAAAAATTCGTAAAAAAGTTTCGTGGGATTTCTTTTAGATATGATTTCACTATGGAACAGTTCTACTTTACGATCTCCATGACAACCATTTTCAGCTTTGCACGCGAACTCAGTATTTCCAAGGACTGGTCTTTTCCGACGCATTTAGTTACGGAATCGAAGYAGCAGAAAATATATAGTATCTTAGATTAATATTGAGCTTGAAGCGATACGTAGACTTATTTACACAAATATAGTAATAAATACTATTCCCAAAAAATATTTCAAGTTTCAGACGATTTTATCAAGAGTCTCCCTACTACCTCCCTGATTTTTTCATGATAATTCTTTGCAAACTTATCAACGTCCAGGCTCGTAGTGCCTGGGGGTTAGGGAAGAAAAGAAAAGAAATTATCTACAGGCTTACTTCAGGAAGTTAGTTYGTTTTGACCTCAAAAACTAAATATTAAAATTGAACAAGTTTCTTATAAACTAGGAAATTGTACAAGAAAGCCCTATAGTGTATGTTACAAGCAAAACACTTCGCGGCCAATCCAGCGGCGCCCTTCTGTACTAGTCCAATCGACTACACAAGTCTTTGAGTCCTGTGATTTCGATCAGAAATTCATATTTCAACAGCTAGAAGAAGAAGAAAAAATTATAAAAGAGAACAAACCGCGAGTTAATCTTTGAGTACTTTGCTACCGTTTCTTCATCCAAACTACAGTCACTTGAACAACGGCCTCGATGAGATCAATCTATTCTACTTCAACTTCAACTCTACATATCCCTTCGGCTATAAATGAGGACATAAAAGCCTTGAAATATGAATTAAACGTCCCTTATTTTGCTAGACAAAGCACATCCTTGCATGAAGAGATAGTATGAGTTCATTGCTCGAGGGGCTAATCTGATCAGAGAATTTCGGAGAGTTCCCGAGCTGAGCTAGACACTGAGCGGTATTTAAAAAATAAAGTTTCAAAGAATCATATACAAAAGTAGTTAAATTGTATGTTGCTTTGGGAGGGACTTTCATCTTTTGTAAAATTCTTCTATAAATTTGTTCCATGTCGAATTTTCTTGGAAAAACGGGAACTTATAATTAGATTGAGGAATGGCTATCATAGCTAGTTCAGTGAAAAATATTTACTTTCGAAAGTCAATGAAGATTGAAAGAAAAAAAAGAATTTTGTCATATTTGTAGTGGGTAGTGAAACGAGAAAAAACTTGAAATGAATGGCTGAAAATCGAATAAGACAATCAAATCAAATCCTACTTCCATAGTATCATATTTAACGGCCTATACTAATCTTGAGGCCGGCAAAAACGAAAAATGTCACGAAAACGAATAGCTTTTTTTCTGGAATCACGCGAGGATTTTTCTCAAAATACATATGCAATWGAAAAGTAAATTTATTCCATCTTTGATCGTCTATCTTAACAACACATTTTTGATATCATTTTTTGTAATATCTCTTGTAGTTTGAAGATGACCTTCCGTCATAAAGTGATGAAAAATAAGGTCGAGAAGCGAATATCTCCTTGAAATTGTGTGGGCTGTTCGCAGACTTTAGACTCAACAATTCGAATATTCATTTAGCTTTGGAAGGAGAAAGTGTTTAAAAAGAAAATTTTCCTTGAACTTTAGAAATATTGTCTTTCTCATTGGCGGGAACTTGCTTATGGACTCTACAGTTGGACACAAACAGGAAACGAGAATGACGTCACTGGGAATTTACGGCCCCTAGGGTCTCAAGTTAGGAGAATAAGATTTTGATCAGACCAATTTTTTAAAAATTTATATTGCATTTTCTAATTGAAAATCTAGACTTAGAATAAAARTATAGTTATTTTWAAGGAACGGYAACAAATATATCAAAAAGAGTAAARATATTTACAATATTCGAATTTAAATGTATCATTTAGAGGTCTCTTCATTTCGACATCGGTCCGCTGGTACGAYTGATTTTCATCAACTGCCGTCTGCGAAATTTAATTTTGAGAACTACAAAAATTCTGGCCTAAATTTTGAATGGAAATTAAAGAAGAGATTTTGATTATTTCCTTGATTATGTGATTAATGTTTTTTGTATTTATTTAAGTTCCTTAAATTGACAATTTTAATATTATCAAGACAGTTCACACATTAAAAACAACCGTAAAATAGCACTACCTCAAAAATAGACTCTCAAATATTTACTGTTCGTATTTGTGACCATTTAACCGCATTAAAAGCCCTCTTCATTTAGTTTTCTCTCCTCGTCAAAGCTATTAGTCCACCTAAAGGCAAATAGAATATGATAGTTGGGTAAAATGTTGGAGTGTTTGATGGAAAATGAAGTTCTCCTTTGGTTGGTATGACATCATGTTGACATCACACCCCTCCCTGTATGTAAATGAAGGCGAGTAAGCCTCAAAGCTCATCGTTGTTACCACAAATAGAACAAACATACATCGTCGGGCAGCTGTAGCGAAAAGGCCTAGTTACTGGTGGGTAAAAATAGATCTTGAATTTTTATTTCCGTCTACTATGAACTATAAACAGGGCTAAAGATTGCTGCTAGATTTAGCTTGGTTAGGAAGGTTTTTCGTAATTAATGGTCCATCTTGATTTCTCGCATTTGTTTATGTGTTAATTTACAATTACGAAAAGTAGCTTTCGGTTTATCAGGAACGCTTTTTCTTCCGCAAAAATACTGAATGATTTTCCGCTCTGTGTCGGAGATCTGCTATACTATCAGCAGCTCTGGTGTTCTGCTACTTTTTCTCCTTTAAAAAAGGACTTTTCTTTGGTTGATTTAGCAAAAGCGATCGCAGTTTTGAGCTTGCATTTCTTGTGCCGAAGTTTCGCTTGTAAACCACGGCACATGGTACCTTCACCATCGACCACAAACTTACTCCTCTATAAACTAACTTTCGCCGGTAGATTCTAGCTTACACATCAAGTTATTCACATTAACAGACTTTGCATTTATCAGGGCATTATTTCTTTTAAATTGTGGTCAATATTTTCGACTATTTTAGATAAAATTCCGAGCTCAATTTGTGTCGTCAAACTGAAATACAAACTGAAGACGAAAACAACGACTGTTTTTACTCTTGTTGGCAGGACAATAATGTCTAATATACCTACCTCTCTAGCACTTAGCTTTATTCTTTTAATATAATTTAATTCTTTTAAGAGTCTGTGTAGAATAATATGTGTGTGAATGGAAATTTTTAGGTCGACTGACTCGACTATTAAAAGCATCGGACCGTTCGTCACGTCTTCTTAGAATTTAATATACATGCACCATATTATTCCACTCCTGTCTAGCCATTTATTCTTTCAACTGGTTTCAAGACAGATAAGGTTAAAACCTTAAAGAATTGCCATTTTTTTTCTTATACAATGTTTAAATTTCATCATCGATGGAGAAAAATTATCAAACCAGGAATTTCGGAAATCCAAAATGGCGGGAGATCGCTTTCGTGGACATCAGTTCTCTTAATTTCCTGTCTAAAATTTTTGCATTCCTTGTTAAATTATTATTCATGTCTGGCAAATAATCACATGATCAAGGCCTTGTATGTTTGCAGATCTTCGACTTAAAGGTCGTTGTAAACATTGCAGTAGGAGAAATGAAAAGATGTCTTGAATATTAGATCATTAGGCAGAGAATCGAGTCTACATTCCCAGGGACAACCCCTCCGAATTACATCATACCACGCAATAAAACGCCAAAATCCAAGCTTTCGAAAAATCCCTTCTTGTTCCTTTTTATAGAACGTATAAGCTTAAAACTCAAAGAAATATTCTTGATGCCAAAGTTGTGAGTATTGCACTGTTTTCTTGGCTTGTTATCAACCGAAACTTTGAAGCAATCATTTTCCTTTCGCAATCGCTCCAAAATATTTCATCTTAAAAACCTTTTCCCCGCTCTGCATCGAGAAGAGTTTCTATTGTATTCTTGATTTTTATGGTCCAACAAGGAACTCACTCTTTTTTACCTCTTAATTCTCCAGGTACAAGTTTGAAAGATTAATCCAAGGAGTACGAACTCTCGATAAGTTTACATAAGCATAAATCCTCTTCCTTCGACACTGGAAAACACAAAAATGGGACGCAAAAAGATACAAATATCCAGAATTGGAGACGAAAGAAATCGCCAGGTAAAAGCCTTGAAGACTGTTTCTTATATATACTGAAGTATGGTTCATCAGTTGAAGTAATAGTGGAGTTTATTGTTAAAAGCTTAGCTTTTTTGAAGCGCGCGGGCGGCTATTTTAATTTTGCTTCTATATTTTGCATCAAACGAATAAAAATAGCCTCCCGTTTTTGATCTAGAATGTCATTAACTAAAGTATTTTTAGCTCACCAGGTCATTCGGGTTAGAAATTACTGATAACGAAAGCACAATAGCCTTAAAATAGCACTCTTTTTATCATATGTGTACTTTTAATTTAGCAAACCATTTTGCGTTGAGCGCGAGTTTGGAAGATCGTCTCCTTTAACCTCCATCCAAATGGCTTTATCGTCGCGAAGGCTTTGACCGATCTTTGATATTCTGCCATGGAAACCATTATCACTGTCTTTTTATTCAACCACGATATTTTTTCAAAGCACTGATGTCGTGGTTTTCTTTCAGAATTACAAAATGTTATCATAGTCGTGTTTGTTGACATCTTAAGTGTCTGGTATTGAAATGGCTTTCTCGATAGCAAACATCACGCACATTCGTAAACATTTTTCTCTTGTTTTAGATAAGTTTAATGATTTATTTTCTTATGGATGGCTTTTCGTATCATCAAACTTTGTAGTGTAAGGCATTTTGGGTCAAAATTTGAGGTCATTCTAAAGCCGTTTTAGATAATATTACGAGTGTTCTAGAACGTGTGTGCGTGTTGGAATCCTACACTAGATCTAGTGGTTATCTTTCGCACATTTTCGCCACAATTCGCACAATGTTTTGAATTCGCTCTTCAAGTCAATAAAAAATATTGACAAAGTACTCCAACATCTTGTCATTTCTTGATCGAAATATTCTCATATTCGAAGTCTTTGACGATGACTGAATTCAATAAACACTTGAGTTTCATGCTTGGATATTCCATTTGTCCATCAAATTGCTATTTCTGAATATTCCGAAAATTGGAATCCTAATTAGAGTATTTTTGAGCTATCTAGAGGGTTTAGGTAACATTGACATCCATTCATAATTTCAAGTGACACTTTTAGAATAAGTCATACACAAATTTTACATTGGATTTGCAGAATACAATTCATTTTTGTACAGAAGAATTTGAAGGAAACACCAAAAAAAGTTAACATTTTACATGTAAAGATTCAGCATCATACGGCGTTATAAAATACTTTATTTACTACCATTACAGAGAAATTTTTTCCCTTTTCCATTTTAAAATTAATCTTAAAAGAAAAGTTATCATTTGATTTGAGATGTTAAAGAAATTTAATTTTCTGCTGTGCTGCAACTAACATTCCCTTTGGAGAAATTATCTCAGGGTGATTTGATTTAAAACAAAGGCCTCTGACATGTCTTTTATAAATTGATCAATACTATGTTTACTTAAAGATTGGATACAATATTGAAGTGATAAGAATAGACTTCATTAGGATAGATGTGCAGTAAGTATCCATTGATCAAAGCATTAAATCTTCCATTATTTTATTTCAAAAGCCTTGGCTTTGCATTGTGGTAGTCAGAGTATTATTCACAAAAAATTACCTTTTTAAATTTTTCTCATTCTCAAGTTACAATCTTGTTAACAGGCATATATCATTTACATAGTTTTTTTTTTAATTTTAATTTTTATTCCTTATTTGTTGTTGAAGGAAAGCATGGCTACCCATTCATCGTTCCCTCCAGGCACAAGAAAAATACTGCCTTACATAATATCTATATCCATCATAGTTTTGATATTGTCTTAGAGCTACCAATTCATATCGTAGTATTTATATGTGTCATATGCCAGTCCATATTTACAGACTTATTTCCTATAAGACAAGACCAAATACAAATATTATTTTATTCATTCATCTATTTTAAAACCAAAACTTTCCCATTAGTCAACCTCCTTAAACGTAACTCATATTACCTGTAATTCAGCTCAGAAAGCTTTGGAATAAATTAGGCTCATTGTTTATCTGATTGCATAAGAAAAATTATTTTTTGCTATGATATTGTATATAATTTTAGTGGGATCAACTTTCGGTGAATATTGCACAAGTAGAAAGAAAGAAGTCCAGAAGAGACAGGAATTGCATGATATGATATTGTAATTTCTTTGCCTTAAGTCCAATGAATGATTTATACTTATGGTATCTTGTAAAATATTTAAGGCTTTTACAAGTTTCTATTTATGGACAAAATTTTTAATACTATATTTTGTTACCATATTTCCAGAACGAAAAATTGAATAAACTGATTGATTGATTGAATACTAACAGCAGCTGTGAGACTATCTATAATGCACCTTTTTTATCGATTTATCACAAAGAAAAAATTTTGAGCAGCAATCTTTTCAAGGAAGGTCTATTTTAAATCCTCTGTTGATTCGATTTTTAATCTGAAAATTTTATCTTTAAAGCCAACATTTTAAGTAAGGGTGACCAAAGTGTAAAATAAGTTTTATAGAAAACATAGTGACCTAAAGTGATAGGTGAAAAAGGAGAGAAAAAGGATGCTAAAATGTGATGGTGTGGAATCATAGAAAGATAGGTTTTTTGATATGTACAAGTATGTTGTAGCGTTTTATTATTATTATTTTATTCGTCAAGCTGTCCTGAAACAAACAAATTAACTAAGCTTCAAAATATTGTGCATTCAGCATTTAATTACATCTTGTGCTTAGTGACATCCAACCTGCATAAAAATGTACTTTTTTTGGACTGTCTGTTGCTTGGGGTTAGTCTTAATTTTGTGTAGAAATATTTATGTGTTCCATTTAAGGTCCATGGAATTTCAAAGTGTTTGTAATGTTGGAGTTGTGTGTCTTTACTTTACTGTTGGTATTTGTGAGTGTTGTGATGCTGAAATGAGGGTTATCTTGAGTAAACAAGTCTACAATAGCTTCAAGGGGCGTAATAATTTCCCATTTCACACAATGTGTCATTCTTTTTAGGATAAGGTTCTTTGTTTATTTTTTTTTTTTTTTTTTTTTTTTTTTTTTTTTTTTTGAAGTCGAGACTAAACTTTTTTTCTTTTTCTTTCTTTCTTTTTTTTTTAATAAATACTTTATTATCTTTAGTATCTATATTCATGTGCCTTCTCATGCACAACTGTTAAGCAAAGAAATGATACTCTAGGGAATGACACATGGACTGAAATGGGAAAATWTTGCACCCAAGGTAACAAAAATAGAAAGAAAGAAGTGTCTAATCAACTCAAAATTGGTCTATTTAATTAAGTAGGACCAATTACTAATCTGTGATGACCATTTCTCACCTATACAAAATTGTACAGCGTTCTTAAAATTTGTTTGTTTGTGCTTCCTTAGGTCACATTCACTAAAAGAAAGTTTGGTCTGATGAAGAAAGCTTATGAGCTGAGCATCCTTTGTGACTGCGAAATTGCATTGATCATCTTCAACTCTGCCAACAAGCTGTTTCAGTATGCAAGCACCGACATGGACAAAATTCTCCTAAAGTATACTGAATACAATGAGCCTCATGAAAGCAGAACTAATGCTGACATTGTTGAGGTAAAATGTCAAAAATGCTTCCTGCCAACCAATTACCAAAGCATAGTATCAGTACGTACACGTTTGGCCATTGTTGATTGATATTGTGTTCAAAAATACCAGGAAAAGATTTTTTTGAAATTACTTGGAAAAGTAGTAGATTCTAGGACAAAAATTATTCAATTAAAACCCCACTGTTGTTGATAAAAAAAAAGACTTCTCTCACAATCTAATTTGATATTATCCTAATAATTTGTGTTTAATTTTTAGACCATCTCAAAGAAAGAAAACAAGCAGATATCCTCACCAGAAGATACCGACAAGGTACGAACTTTTAACCACCATTTATTATTAAGAAACCTATATTCTCTGGTTTTCGGCAAGAGCAAAAGATTATCAAAGGGGGCTCACTACACGTAGGTATTGTATTCACATTTTTGTGAAATGAGGATGAGGTAGAAGAAACCTTTTTTTTTTTGTTGGTTGGGGCAACTTTGGCATTTGTGGTATTGCTTTTTGTGTCTCCTGCATTTAGTTTAAGAATTTCATTTTTTTTGCAGCAATTCGTTCTGACTCCGAGGACAGAAGCCAAGTATAACAAAATCAATGAAGAATTTGACCAAATGATGAAGAAAAACTATGTTCCCCAACAGGTAACCATACTTTTAATTTACATGCCTTCTAAACGGAGGTTTGTGCCGCCATGTGATGGCAACCATGTTAGATGGCGGGGAGAAAAACGTTCGTTGTTTTTACGACGGTAGCACTTACTAGCCAGTACTGTACCTAACAAAACTGTGGCCTATGTTCTGTGATCCAATCAGAATTTTAGAAGTACTGTAGGAGCGAGAGCTCTCACACCACCCATGCTWTCCAAGGAACAATACTCTTTGGACATGATTGTGCTAAATCCAATAGCACTCAGGGAATATTATGCAACTGTATATGGAATGCTGTGGAAACAGCTTGATTGATGCCTATCAACACCTACTTCTTCAGCACGATGATTTGGTATTTGCGATTAAGAATGACTGTAATATCAAAAAACTTGAAGAATGAGAATTTTGGTGCAAAATCCCTATTGAATTTATTTATTCATTTTTTTTTTTTTTTTACAGAATCCAGATGGTTACCCACAGGYGATGCCGGTATCTGTGCCAGTCTCCCAGAACAGCAATGGTTCAGATGACACTAATGGGTACTCTGTCAGTAGGAGCAGTAGCGTTGATACTATTGGGAGTAGTTCTGGTATAGGAAATGCCAACACAGCTGGAAGAATATCCACAGGAACCCCAAATCAGTCAAACCCAGGACTAAGCATATCAGGTAAAATAAGACGATTTTCTCTTGTGAATTTTTCATTGTGACTGTCTTCTCTTGACTTGCATGTATCTTGTACRTCTTTTCTTGTCTTTGTCTTTCCTTTGCTTCCCTTCAATTCACTTTGCTTTGCTTCACTTAAATTCTCCGCTCTTGTTTTCTCTCTTTCCATCTCTTCTCTTCCCTTTTCTCTTCTCTTCTCTTCTCTTCTCTTCTCTTCTCTTNCTTCTCTTCTCTTCTCTTCTCTTCTCTTCTCTTCTCTTCTCTTCTCTTCTCCATCGTTTAATTACAGCACATCATCAATGTCACTATGATAAGCTACAGAAATGTCCATCATTATTTGTTTGAGTAAATTTTACACAGCACTTCTATAACTCAACATTATTACTTTGCGTTACAGACCAAAGCTATCCCAACTGAACAAATGCGCCTCGCAGCATTCTTCCTTGGCGACAATCTGTAAAAACTGATCACATGCCCTGCACATAACAACATTGACTRACTTGGTAACAGAAACATATTGGACAACTGACTTGCGCAACATCAGTTACATTATTCACCAACACACACCTTATGTACTTAATGTTATAAGTTAAGCAGATAATATTGTACATTATGGCCTACATAATCTCCATAAGTTTTCTCTTGTTATGGTTCAATTAAATATACCCACAGACATTCAAGATATCAATGATATTTTAATATATTAAAATATAAATGGCCCTAATGTATCTCAGTTGCAGAAGCAAAATAGGTTGAATGAATATTTATTACCATGTATGATTGACAGCATCATTTTCATTATCCTAGAAGATTTATTCATTAGTTGGAGCATTTGAAAAATATATTTTATAAAGTTGTTCATTTAAAGAAACTTTGTCTTCAAAAATATGAAACCCAATTCTTTAGGCAAAATAATTTTTAATACTTAACCAGATTTCGACTTTGCATTTTATCTTGGGGTATATAGAAGAGAGAGAATGTAGCATGAAAGATTTAATGGTTTTAATTTGTTTAACACCCAAGAAAATTAATAAATCCCAATGATAAATATACTTCAACATAATCAAACAAGTCAAAAGTTCTATATGCACTTTTGCAAAAGCGCAACTATAAAAAAGTGTGTATATGACTTTTAACTTGTTTCAATGAAATAACCAAAAACAATTTGTTATGTTTATATTTTATTTTACAAGATATTGTCTTTAAAAGTGCATTTTATCATTAATAGTAGGTTAAAATGCTAATTGTTACTCCTAAGTCCTAAGTTTTTTAAGTAGCTTTGATGAATAAAAGCAGAAAAATTGTAGATATATAGAGTATTAGAATATTAGAGTCTAGCTAGTGTAAACTTTTAAAATGCTGTAGCAATAGCCTACTTCCGAAATATGCCTCGCTTGTCACGCACAAAGGTTTCAATGGACGGCGTTGTGCATAATGCCAGTGATTYGTGAAAGGATAAGAGGATAAATTTAATTTCACATGTAGCCTTGTACTAAAACCTTTGTGTGTGACAAGTGAACCATATCTTGGAAGAGAACTATTCTATTATACTATTTGATAAATTTAAATGCTAAATTTTTATTCAAGAAAAGCTTATGATTTAGATCACTTCCTATACTTGTGGTTCAACAGTGTTTATGTTAAAATTTTGATGTGAAGATTTAAACAAAAAAAAAGCATAAAATTAAAAATTGCTGATAAATTAACAAATGATAAATTAAAATAATGTGAGTAGATCCTATACGTAGTAGTAGATCCTATACGTAGATTCTTAAATTAGATAACATAGATTTCACATTGGAATATCAAAATTAATATGCCTGTAAATGAGTTCGAGTTAATATATTTTAAATAAATAATATAATATTAAAACTTAATAGATTAAGCAATATATTAAGTTATTATTCAATATGCAGCTAGTTAATGTGAGAATATTACAGTAAGGACACTGAAACAATGAACACGAGTTATTTTTAGGTTATTATTTTCTGAACGTTCGACTTTTTCAAACCCTTTAAATTAAAGCATTGAGTTTAAATACACAGGGGATGGCAGCAAAATACCAACTTTCAGCTTGCAYTTTGCATTTTGCTGCTAGCGAGTTTGCATGTTTATAAAATTCACCTTTTCRACATTACCTTGGATCGTGTTACAGTCACAAAAAGTTCGGACATTTTTTTCAGATTTCCATACAAATTCACTGACTTTAAAGAGAAAATTTAGGTAGATTTCTTTAGTTAGCTATCTTAACAGCAGTAAGAAAAGCTTCAATCAAGCTAGAAAAATGATTATTTACTTGTATTTAGAGAACTAACTAAACATTAACCAAGTAAATAGTTCATTTAGAGTCAGTGCATTTGTACGGAAATTCGAGAACAATGTCCGAACTTTTTGGTGACCRTAACACAATCTAAAACAATTTATACCCTTTAAGGGCTAGCGCCGAAAAGGTGAATTAGCAGGATATTCATGAATAAGTGACAAAAGACTTGAAGTGTTTGTGTTTTGAATGCCCTTACTGCAAGAAGAATATTGAAATTGTATTAATCTTTATCAATCAAATAACTATACTATTTAATAATTATGATGTAAAGTTATTTTTGGTCGTCACATGAGAAACCTTTTTATTTGTTTTTTGGTATATTTTCCTTTTGTTTTGCAGTCAATTTTTTGTTACAATTTTACAACTTAGTATAGCATTGCATTTAATTGCCTATTAAAGAATACTGTCAAGAGAGATATACAAATATTGTGTATTATTTGAGGATGAAGTAGGCTAGAATGATTGTTGATTATTTTTCTTTTCTTTTTTTCTTTCCTTGATTTTTATCCTTTATTAGTAATTTGTCACCCTTTCTTGCTTGCTTTTTTCCCCCTCTTCGATTTCCTCTTTCATGTAATGAGTAATATGTTTCTCCAGCTTTTCCCTTCTGCTCCACTCATCTGTCCCATCCATCCACCCTCATCCAAGCATCCACCCATCCATCCATCCACCTTCACCCATCCAAGCATCCACCCATCCATCCATCCATCCTTCCATCCTTCCATCCTTCCACCCATCCAAGGATCCACCCATACATCCATCTGCCCTTTTTTCTTGCACCTTACACTTAATAAGATTTTTATTAAATCCTACCACAGGACCCCAACAACAAACCATGTCAGACCTAGTAGCAGCTGCCGAAATGAACACCAATAAACAAAGCATCACTGGCCAATACCAAAGGTCCACTAACTCAGTCGGCAGTGACCATGGATCAGGATTCCCTGCRCCTGCAGTTCATAGTGGACGTAACTCTGTCTCTCCCAACCCACAAGTCTCGCAGGCTCCCAACCGACCTCATCTCAAAGTAGTGATTCCGTCTTCTAATAGACCTAATGCTCAAATGGTAAGTATACTGTATATGTTGTCCATCCATCTGTCCATCCTTCAGTCCATCTGTCCATCCATCCCTCCATCTATCCGTCCATCC